TACTTATTCTTGCGATAATTACTATTGCAGTGACGTAGTTTTGCTTAAAGAAAATATTCAAAACATTTTATTTATTTATTTATTTATAACTTTAACAAAATAGACTTACAGTACGAGACCAAGTCGTCTAAATGTTATCTTAAATTAAATTACAAACATTTATGAAAATCTAGTATATCTACTTTAGTTATACAAATTTATGAGATTATTATCCTTGTCCATATTGTCCTTGACATCATTTTCTCTTTCTTATTCTTTGGCTTAAAATTAGTGTTACACTGTGGTCAAATGTGGGAGAGCCAAGCCAAAATGGGTCAGCTCGACCGGAGTGATACCCCGGCCTCAGAAAATCGGCGTGAAACAACCACAGCGTTGGGTTTCGCCGCGTGAGTGAGGTTACCGGAGGCCCAATCCTTCCCCTCCCCCGATCCCTCCCCAATCCTTAAATCTCCAAAACTTTAATCCCTAAAAGGTCGGCAACGCATTCGTAACTCCTCGCCTATACCTTCCCAGTCCTTAAATAACTGCAACCCTTATCCCTAACAGGCCGGAAAAACATTCGTAACTCCTTCGGTTTTGCGAGTGTCCATGGGCGGCGCGGATTGCTTACCATCGGGTAATCCGTCTGCTCGTTTGCCAAGACGGCAACATAAAAAAAAATACATAATGGACCAGAGTGAAAAAAAATATTATTTTTATTCACAACCTTGCTCATTCTTCGGGTTCAGGTGTACCTTATAATATTATCTCATCTAATATATCTTATAAATGATAACAATAAATCTAGAAAGTCTTGGAAAAAGTCATCTGAATATTCATGGAAAATAATTATTTCGACTGCACGGTTGGTGCGGCGGCTGGGCAACTGGCTGCCGTGCAACGTGTCGCGGGTTCGATTCCCGTACGGAACAACTCTTTGTGTGATCCACAAATTGTTGTTCCGGGTCTGGGTGTCTTGTCTATGTGAAATTGTATGTTTGTAAAAGCACCCACGATACAAGAGAAAATCCTAAAGTGAGGCAACGTTTTATTAAAAAAAAATTAAAAAGGTTATATTGTGTTGAAAATTAGTTTTAATTTCGAAAAGTATTATATACATTTTTTATTCTGAAAGTAATAATTGCTGAATTGAAATCTTAGTTTTTTGACATAGGTAAAAACACCTTATTGTAATATTTCCCTGCATAAATACAACTATAATACGTAGGTATTATAGTTATAGTGTAGTAAATACTTACGTCCTTGTAGGAACACGTAAGTATAATAATTGTTTATACGTACAAGCTGTGAGAAATTTAATTAAATGGATTTCAAAACTAGCAACTACATACGTAGCTTTATAACAATGCGACATTATTTATAATTTATTGTATGAAAACAACATTTTTGATATCATTGTATCTGCTAGTATGTATAATTTTTTGTATAGTTGTGAACATAGTTTGTGGCATTGTTAATTAAAATACAAATACGTTTGAAATAAATATTTTTACTATAAAAAATTAACATATAAATCATAACTTTTAGAAAGTATATTTTTGTGTTTAAATTTTACACATGTTTTTTTTTTTGTTAGGGTAAAAATCATTAAACGTCTTCTCCCACTCAGAGTAAGGCGAGAGGAAGTGTCAGACTCTTCCTGACTAAAACACCTCCTGTTCCTTCTCTTGCTCTAGGCCGCAGCCGCAGTGCCCTTACCACGCAACCTCATCCAAACCCCTGATCACTGATTTTAAGTGTGGAAAAGCCATGCTTTGGCACGAATGAGTCGGCTCGACCCGATCATATGAAATCGTAGATGGACTATCTAGTGGATCCAACAGCGTGTTCGAAATTTTATCAATTAACAATTAACAACAAATACAGTAGTTTATACCTATCCCATTTGATTTAATTAAATTATATCATCATCAGTAGCCAGTAATTTTATCAGTAAATCAATGGAAATAATATTATTGTATAAAGAATTTAAATTTAATTTATCTGACTATTATACCTACTATGTGAGCTGATGATTAGTCATTCGTGAAATATTTAACAATTTACGACAAATAAATAAATTTACATATAAATAACGTTAATGCAAATTAAATAGTAATGTTTTATTTAAATAATACTCTAACGCTTAATAACGTAAACGAAATAAAAAAGATGTTAAGAAATTAGTTTTACACAACTCCCAAATAGGTGAGTGATCCAATCTGAAAATCCAGAGTGTAAATATTGGTACTAATTCCCAAAACCAGTCTACAGGGCTTTTTTTATGTGATAGCTCGGTAAACGAGCCAATGGATTACCTGATGGTAAGCAATCAGCGCCGATCATGAACACCCGCAACGATTTAGGGATTGAGGAAAGATTGAGGGAGGGGAAGGATTGGACTTTTCTGGACCATTACCCCTTAAGCTTTGTAACCCATGCCCGGTTCAACTTCCGGATTCTAAAGTGGAGTTGGAAAATCTGGTTGGTAATAGTGGTTCTTTTTCGAATTTACAGATTTTCGGTTTGATATCGAAACTCCAAGCATTTTTCTATTTGTCACTCGTTTACAAATGTAGTTTCAAATTTTAAGAAGTCAAGGTCGTGACGGTTTTAATGACTGGATTATCAGGACCTTATGCAACAATGTAAACCTGTCCGTGACTGTAATTTATATTATTTACATTTTGACAATATAATCACTTGTTCGACCTTTATGTCTGGTTTTATAAAAAAATGATTTTTTTCTATTCATTACACATACAATAACCTCTTTTACGAGACAATATTTTTTGTATCAAACAAAGAATTGGTCCGCACGAAAGTCATATATCACGATAGCTCGACAGGAGTGATACCGCAGCCTCGTAGAAAACCAGCGTGATACAACGCATACCTTGTGTTTAGCTGAATGATTGAAGTTATCATAGTGTAACCGGATAGTTACCGGAGGCCTCCTTCCCCCCTTTCCTGATCCCATCCACAAATTCCGTAATCTTCCAACCCTTATACCCTACAGACCTGCAACATGAAAGTCGCTATATAAAACAAAATAGCTTTCCCTTTCCAACATCCTTATGTAAGCTTAAATCTTTAAGACTAAGCAACGGATTTCGTTGTGTACTTTTCCATACTAATATTATAAAGAGGTAAAATTTTTAAGTTTGTATGTAGGGGGTAATCTTTGGAACCGCTGGTCGGATTGCCAAAATTTGTTTATTTATTTAGACTTTTGCACATACATCTGTGTACAAAGTGGACTTAATGCCACAGGCATTCTCTGTCAATCAAATCTTTGGGCGATGTAGAGATAACAGTGCAAGCAGCAAGCAAAATCGAGATATTACTGATAAATATATTTTCACTGATATATAGTTTAGTAGATAAATGTTTCTGAGTTCTATAGGCTATAAAACATCACGCTACGATGAAATGAAGCCGAGCAGTGGGTGAAAGCGCGCGAGAGTAGCTAGTAATAGATAGAGCGATTGAAGAGCAAGGAATGATAGGTTATATGTTCAATAAGATTCATTAAATAATGGAGCAATTTAGCTTTTATTACCTTTGCAAGTGTGCGAAGCTGGGGGGGGAGGTCGGAAGGAAATTTTAAATTTTTGGGCTTAGAACTAGAGACAGAAGTTAAAAACAAATTTACACCAGAATTTACCTCCGTTGTACTCTAAGTTACTCATACTTAACCTAACCCCGTTTTGAGCAATGCAGTAATAGTCCGTTTCATATAATTTAATCAGAATGTACGGCAAAAAAATGACTGCACGGTTGGTGCGGTGGCTGGGCAACTGGCTGCCGTGCAACGTGTCGCGGTTTCGATTCCCGCACGGGACAACACTTTGTGTGATCCACAAATTGTTGCTTCGGGTTTGGGTGTCATGTGTATGTGACTTTGTATGTTTGTAAACGCACCCACAACACAGGAGAAAATCCTAAAGTAGGGCAACGTTTTTTTGTTATAACGATAACGAAAAAAAATGAATGAATATAAAAAGACGTAATAAAAATTTAATTTGACACAAGCAAATCCACATGGCGAACCAGTTAAAAATGCTTGGTATAAATAATGTCATTCATTCAAGTTTTGGTCCAGTTGCGTGCGTCTCTTGTGATACAAGTTCTGTATTTTGTTTTTTAATTATTAAAAATATTTTGTGGAAAAAAAATAGTTATGAAAATATATACAAATTGAAATATTTTGGCGATTTCAAGGTAAGTTAGTGTGTGAAAGTTGATTATGTTTGCGATAGCTTTTTTTATTGTATAGGTAGGGAAACGAGCCGACGTTATTACCTGATGTTGAGCAATCCGCGCCACCCATGGCCACCCGCAACACCGAAGGAGTTACGAGTGCGTTACCGGGCTTTTAGGGATAAGGGTTTCGTATATATAAGGATTAGGAGGGGATGGGGAGAGGTGGAGGGTTTGGATCTCCGGTAACCTCACTTACACGGCAAAACACAACGCTACCATTGTTTCCCGCCGGTTTTCTGTGAGGCCGTGGTATCATTCCGGTCGAGCTGATCCATTCGTACCGAAGATTGGCTCTCCCACATTTATAATCCACCACTTTTGTAATAGTTATTAAATTAGGACCTAATGTTTATTTTACAGGGGCAATGGAAAAGTTCAATAGCAATAATTTATAAAATAAAACCAAAAAAATGAATGCCACAACAGCTGTGCTGGGAATAAAAAAAATTCAAGCAGCATTGAAAATATTGGCTGCATTGCAGTTGACTGCATATTTGTGGCCACAACAGGCTCAAGTTCAAGGTACACTTTCTTTTTCATAATAATAATTTAAAAAATAACAATCATGGCAGCCTTATTTACATTATCATGTACTTTTTTTAACTTTGCCCACAAAAAATTGTTTTTCTGAATCGTGCGTGCATTTACTAACAATTTCCCATACCTACACTTGCGACCCGACCGTACGGCGCGTAGTGTTCCGCGCGCGTCTCAAAGAGCCATTAGACCACCACAGACGGGGCTCCATAGGGCTGATGTTCAGCCGGGGTTGCGGGGTAAACGCAATGAGGCACCGCGACCTCGGCATAGACCAGGAGAAGGAACAGGGGGGTTTTTAGTCAGTAAGAGTCTGACACTCCTGCCGGCCCTGGGCGGGAGAATAAGTCATTTGCTGATTTTCCCCTCACAAAAAAAAACCTTCACTTGCGGGAATCGACTTCTCGATACACAGCTACCGTATCATTTGTGAAGCTACAATAATTTTATCAATTTTATACGAAAAACGTTTGCTACTTCATTGTTAAGTTATTTAAGACAAAAATGTAAGCCAAATGCTTCCTTTGTTTAGTAAAACCATCGAAGTACTTAAATTGTACCTGCGCACCTTTCAAACGATTACGCCATATTTGATATTGTTTTATTGTCATGGTTGTTATTGTCACACCACTTGGTTTTAACAATAGCGCGCTAAAAATTCGAGAAAGAACTGGTAACCTTACAATCGCCTCAAACTCCACATACAAATTAACCAATTTAAGTGAATAGTGATTCTAGAAAATAAGGTTGAATGTTTTAGAAGGTTTAAGGAAACAAAAAAAAATATGTAGGTATTAGGAATAATTCAATAATTATTTTGGTCAACAGATGGCGCTTGTTTCGACTACATTATTGTCGGCGCTGGATCAGCTGGCAGTGTTATAGCCAACAGATTGACTGAGATTGATAACGCTAAAGTTTTGTTGATTGAAGCTGGTGGTGACCCTCCCGTTGAATCTGTGGTAAGTAGCTCAGAGTAATCAGCTCATTAATATCACCTTTGAAAATGGATTGGACTTTTAAATATCACACTACGTTGTTAATCACAATTTGACTGTACGGTTGGTGCGGTGGCTGGACAACTGGCTGACATGCAACGTGCCGCGTGTTTGAATTCCGCACGAAGCAACTCTTGTGTGGTCCACAAATTGTTGTTCCCACGACACAGGAAACTATCCTTGAGTGAGGCAACGTTTTTTTTAAACGAAATAAAATGAAAAACAATAAAGAACAAACAGAGAGACGCATTTACTTACACGAATTGAAGTAATTAATTGGGCAATCGATCTTGTTACTACACTAACGGCTGCGGCAAATAACATGGCATCACAGAATTAACTGCTATCTATCAATATGTTTATACATGCATTTAGTTATGCATACATACATGGATGTATGTAGATAATCGTCGGAGGTCAATCTATATTAATTAATGCAAAGCAACCACAAAACATGTACAAGTAGGTCAAATTTGAAACACTCATTTGTGTCCTGGTGTTATAGAATAAACGTATTGTACGTATTGTTTACATAAAAATGAAGAGCTCAATTAAAGAAAAAAATATACTTGATACGTAACATATTTTTCATTCCACAAATACGTGTATAGGTAAAGGTTACGATCTTCGTTTAATATGGCATGAAACCCATGTTTGGCGGCAAACTAATTACTAGACACCGGGCAAATTCCAATATCTATTAATAGTATCAATAAGAATTTAGAAATCGAAACTCCCAATTAATTTTTACCCATCCAAGGATCTAAGCCAACAACTTGTTTAAAAATACAGATTGTGTTTACCATTAATTACTTCAAATTCTATTTCAGATACCAGGATTACTACCATTTATGAAAAATACAGAAGTTGATTGGAATTACGAAACAGAAAACGATGGGTACAGCCAACAATATCACAAAAATTACGGAGTAGAACTGACGAGAGGGAAAATGCTGGGAGGATCCAGTTCTATCAATTTTTTAGCTTACACGAGAGGAAATTTTCATGATTTTAATAATTGGGCCGAGATAACTGGTGATGAATCCTGGAGTTGGGCAAACGTCCTTCCGTATTTTAAAAAAAGTGAACGACTAGTTGACTCTGTCATGCTCCATTCGAGTGCTAGTAGTTTTCATGGTACTGAAGGTTATTTGGGGACGACCAGAAAATATAATGAAGAGGTTCTAAGGTATTTCGAAGCTTTTGAAGAAGTTGGGAACAGAATTGTTCTGGACACGAATGGTAACACCCCTCTTGGTATTACTGAATGCATGTTCAATGTTGCTAATGGTGTCAGGCAGAGCACGGCTCAATCATTCTTACATCCAATAAAAGATCGGCCAAATTTATTTGTTCTCAAAAACACATTGGTGTCAAAAATCCTCTTCGATGAAAACAAGAATGCTATCGGCGTGGAAGCCATATTAGAAAATAATGAAGTTGTACAGTTTAAAGCTAATAAAGAAGTTATAATATCAGGTGGGGCTATTAACACACCACAATTATTAATGCTTTCCGGTATAGGACCAAGAGAACACTTGGAAAGTCACGATATACCAGTTATTTCTGATCTTCCTGTGGGTCAAAGTTTACAAGACCATGTCATGGTTATGATGGCCCATAAAATGGGCAATTCTCCTCCACCCAAACCAGTAGATCCTTTATATATTCAAAGTCCATTAATGATGGGATACACGAGTTTGAACCGAAGTAAAAATTATCCAGACTATCAATCCATTAACTTCATAATGAATGAACCAACACCTATGTTGCAATTTTGTTCTTTTTACTACTCTTATATCGATGAAATATGCCAAGCCTTGTATGATGGTAGTATTGGAAAAGAAGTATTATTTAGTTTAGTCATATTATTATACCCAGAGTCTAGAGGAAAAATCTTATTGCGAAGCGCAGACCCAAAAGAGAAACCTATAATTTACACTGGATATTATTCTGACCCAGTTGATTTGAAAAGGCACGCCTCATATGTGGAAGATTTTGCTAAGATTCAACACACAGAATTTTTCGAAAGTGTAAATGCTGAAAGAGTTGTGCCAGAAGTGTGTGGGTGTGAGAACAAGTATTCTACTGAAGAATATTGGCAATGCTACGCGCTATGTATGATGGTATCTGGGTACCATTACTCAGGGTCAGCGGCTATGGGAGTTGTTGTTGATTCTCGTCTTAATGTCTTCGGGGTACAGAAACTTAGAGTTGCAGACGCTAGTGTAATGCCAAAGATTACTGGAGCCAATACAAATGCTGCGACGATTATGATTGGTGAACGAGCAGCTGATATTATCAAAGAAGACCATTTCTTAAGGTCTAGATGTTAGAATAAACTAATTATTTAATTTTATATCTCAATTGAACCTACTTATTTGACACTGGTGTGTCAGCAGGTGGTAAACAATCGGTGCGTTGGCTATATACATGGGTTTAAAAATCAGAGAGAGAGAGAGACGAGAGAGAAAAACGAGAGAGAGAGGGAGAGAGAGAGAGAGAGAGATTACAACGTAAACGTATAACGTTGTTTTTTTGTTAGGCTGAGGTATCACTTCTATGGTGCCAGCTTATGTCGAAGCAAAAATAAAAAGGCGTATAGATCAATATGTAGTAGTTGTTTAGTCAATATTAACGTTATAATAAATGATATTATATTATTGTTTTGTCTTTTTCTTTCTTATAATGTAAATTGTGTTTATGATTTTTATAAAGCTGCGTGAATGTGTTTTAGCATCCACGACAGAATGAGAAAATACTAGTATTGGTCAAAATTTTTTTCAAGCTAAAGATGAGATGAAAAAATGCTTGAAAGTAAAACTGATGTTCAAACGATACACAACACCTGATGCGATATTGCGATGTGTGTTGTGCTTAAGAATTTCGAAAAGAGTTCTTAAGGCGAACTCATTCCACTAACCTTACCTAACTGCTCAACTACTCTGGTAGTCAGTAATGCCATAAAAGTAATTAACCACATTTATTTAATGTGTTTTCAGTCAAACGCTTGTTTGCTGATAATAATGTATATAAATTGCTCGATAAATGGTCGAAGCAAATTGTTATTTATACTCTTTTTATATATGTAATTACCTAGAAATGACGTAATTGTTTTACGACTTTTTCAATTATAGGGGTTTTTTACATTACTCAATTTTGTACTGTAGTAACTAATAAGGTGTACTTAAGACAATGATAGGTAAAATAACATTAGTTATTGATGTACTCTAATTTGTATAGAGCTGGACTTCATCGTTATCAGCCTTTATGTGTCCACTGCTAAGCAAAGGCTTCTTATCACACAGAGAAGTATTGAGAATCAATCGTCATCCTTTCACAATGATTCAAGCTTATTAGAAATTATAAGCTTAGTTTTCCTCACGATGATTTCCTTCGCTGTCTGAACACCATCTGGCCTCATCTGTGGTGATCTAATGGCTATTTGAGGCGCGCACCGTACACTCGTTGTTATAATTACTATAAATAAGAAATATGCTTACTATATCATTATAACATATTATAGGCTAAAGATTATTCCCGCGCCACTAGGTACTAAAGCGCAAAGAAGATATTATGATAAAACAATTGATAGATGACGTCACATATCTTACATCGCGCAAGTGAAATTTGCACGCGATAAAACACGGATTGTTAATCCTTATATGGCCCACTAGGTATCATCCATCACCTCGCCTAGTCCGAGGATTCTCCTTTTCCAATTTAAGGGAACTTAACTCTCTATTCTCTAAACTTTCAATGATACTTTAAAAATACAACAAATACTTAATTGGGTACACCAAGGTGAGAATTGACAAATAAGTGATTAATTTCAAATACTCCTTTTTTCCCCGAGTCACCTACACCGAGATATTTTACTTTTACTTACAAGAATATTACAAGTAATAAAGTTAGTTTGTAAAAAGAAAGGTCATTTTAAGGTAAAAATATAAAACATAAAGTGCAGTTAATAAAAAACAGGTTTCTTGAATCATGCATATTTTGAGATCATGTTTCGTCCAGGCTGAAGTACCTATCTACATACATTTCTTGGTCCAGTTTTAACTAAGTAACGAAACAGATACAAAGACGTAATGTGAGAGGTTTTGTGGTTCTATAAAAAGTAATCATCAAGACCTAGTATTCTCTGCAAGACCGTACAATTTCGATCACAAAACAATGAGATATTAGGATATGCATCATCAAGAATTTTCTAATTATACTGTTAACGAGTAAATACACTGTTTTATGGCATTTTTACAAATAAATTCAATGTTAAATATAATAAATGCCGACTATAATAGTAACCTAAGGATATTTTTACAACCATAGGTACCAGTAGCCAAACAATGGTAACTAAAAACCAAATTACTATGGAAATTGTAAAAAAATCTTTTTTTCTCATAATGTAAAATTACTTCACGTTTTTAGTGTACTTTATTTTAATATGAATAAAATGTCTAATACACTTTTAGAATAAGAAAAAATACCTGTTAATTTCATCATCATCAGACTGATTCCGTCCAATGCTGGACATAGTAATCTCATATTGCACGGCACTGAGCTCAATGTTCAGGTCTTCTCATCCATGCAGATATCGAGACCACCTAGTTAGTTTAGCACTGACAAAAAGTCCTGACGCCTTTCCCGTACTAGAGGAAGGCCTTTGAACCGTTGGTGCAGTGTTCTGGAGTGGAGACTGCGTCTAGGCAAACGTAGTGTATAGTGTGAACCCCTTCAGCTAGATGTAGTAAAGATATCAGCTAGACGGCTGGTAGTGGCTGGATGCATGAAGTTTTTTTTTGTGAGTGGAAAATCATCAAATGACTTCTCCCGCCCGGGGCCGGACGGGAGGGAGTGTCAGACTCTTACTGACTAAAAACCCCCAATCCTTCTCCTGCTCTGGGCCGAGGTCGCGGTGCCTCATTGCGCTTACCCCGCAACCCCGGTGGATGCACAAAGCTGCCGATTGAATTTAGTGGCATGCCATAGAAAATACCTATGTTCAGCAGTGTTCGGTAACAGGATCATAAGTGGTGATGTAAGTGCAACGACGCATAAGGTCAGTTGTTACGTAAAACACAGAAATTACAGATTATATCTTGCTCGTGTTGGAGTAGGTGCATTTGTGCGAATGTACTTGTAATCTTAATCTTTATGAGAATTAAGTTACCACAAAAGAAACAAACAGTTTCACACACAGGTTGTAAATATTAATTCACGTAAATGATTGTATATTACTATAAAAACTTTTTGCTAAAATAATAAAAGATATAAATCTTGCATTCTGAAAAATAAAATAAAGAATTATTTTTAAAGCAAATTAAAGATTACATCTTAATTTAAATACGCTTACATGGGTAGCAGATTATTTTAACAGTAACTTGTAACTTTTTTGTCCAGAAACACACGTGTTATTTCGAAATGTTCTTAAAGGGTGTTATAAAAACTTAAAGGTACAAATATAAAATGCACGATAACAAAGTCATCGACCCTAATTTATGCACAATAAAAATAAATAAATATAAAACTTGATAAAGGTGTTACCAAACCTATAAATCGATGTGTAGGTACATAAAACAAGTCACGTACTAATTCATGTTATGTGGGGACTAGAAGTACATATGTTTTGTCTATCTAACAATATTATATAGGTACTAGTGACCCATCCGGCTTTGCGTGAATGCCATGCTGATACTAAATATCTCCACTATTTAATAAATGTTATTATACGTTTAAAACGTTACTCTTCCATCACTTTCTCTGTTAAAAACCGCATCAAAATCAGTTGCGTAGTTTTAAACATTTAAGCATTCAAAGGGATATAGGGACAGAGAAAGCAACTTAGTTTTATACTATGTACACTACGTAATATTAAACATTTATTCGCTTCGCTTTCTTTGCTTTCTTAAACTGCAACCTTAATTAAGTTTTGTTACTCAAGTAGTCGATATGAATTATCGTGCATGCATACGTCAAACTGTAAACGTATCCCAGGGCGCTACCGCACTTAGGTCTCGTTCACGGAAGAGCGGTCAGTGTCGGGCATTGCGAAACGCATCGCTTCTTTCTCAATTCTGATGTGTGGTGAAACACAGACAGATATTACGTGATGTACAGATTTACCGGAGGCACAATCCACCACCTCCTCCGTTCCACAGCTCCAATCTTCATAACCCCTAACCATCAAATCTCACCGGCAACGCACTTGTTACTCCTTGTTCCTCAATGATTCTCACATTGTGTTTCATCATATCATTGTAATTTATAGGTTTACCGGAGGCACAATCCTCCTAATCCTCGCCGGTAGCGCACTTATAACTCCTTGGGGATTGCGGGTGTTCATGTGCGGTGAAGATTGGCATTAGGATAGTGTGTGGGAGAGCCATGCTTCGGCATGAATGGTCAAAGTCAAAGTCAAAGTCAAAATCATTTATTCCAATTAAACCATCAATAGGTACTTTTGAAACGTCAAAATAGAAAAGTAGTCTGTCAGTCTGTTCGTCAGTGAAGCTAGGTGCTCATTCCAAATTGTAGATTCTAATGGAGAAGAACGAGCAAGAAACTCCATTCGTTACTCTTTTTTTTAAAAAAAATTGTTTTACAATTTCAATAATATAACATTTATAGTATACATTAGTGTACCCTTATGTGAGAACAATGCAGAGACAAGTTGTTAAAAAAAAGAACAAATGAGGGGACCTATCATAAAATTTTACTCCTTTGTCGTCTCGAACATGGCGCTCACATATGCGTACTCACAATCTTTAAGAGTGCTTCTATATAAACTTTTTGGATATATAAATTAAGGATGCATTATTTTTGAGAATTTTACCTAACTGCTGACTATATTTGAGTATTGTCCAGTGGAGCCGAATCAACACGCTGCCAGGCATTCTTATCCTCAATATAATCTGAAAGTTTGTAGTATGCCTGTCTACACAATTCACGTTTAATATAAGTTTTAAATTTTCGTTCGTTAAGATTCAATACAGTACTTGGAATTTTATTGTAACAATTTACACAGAACCCCATAAAGGATTTCTGTACCTTGGACAGACGGAATCGTGGCACAGCCAGCCTATCTTTGCCTCTTGTATTAAAATTATGTCTATCGCTTCTTTTTTCAAATAATTGCAAATTTTTCCTTACATACATAATATTTTCATATATAAACTGACAAGGCACCGTCAGGATATTTATCGTTTTAAATAGTTCTCTCAGAGATTCGCGACGGGGCAAGTTATATATCGCTCGGATAGCCCGCTTTTGTAGAATAAATATTGATTCTACTTCCGCAGCTCGACCAGAGCTATACCACGGCCTAACAGAAAACCGGTCTGAAACCACTACAGCGTTGTGTTTCGCCGTATGAGTGAGGTTACCGGAGGCCCAATCCTTCCCCTTCCCCAGTCCCTAAATCACCAAATCCCTTATCCCTAAAAGGTAGACAACGCGCTCGTAACTCCTCCGTTGCGGGTGTCCATGGCAGCGCTGATTGCTAACCATCAGGTAATCCGTCTGCATCTTTGCTATGACATAAAAAAATGTAAAAAAAAACAAATTTCATCTCGCCACGCTACCGCTTCTACTTCATTAAACGCTTTTCTTATCATTAACAACAATACCTGACATTTTATTGCTATCTACTCAATTACTATCCAATTAACTGTTTATCACCTTTATTTAAGTTTATCTGTATATAAACCAGGAAAAGCAGTACACAGTATTACTGAAAGTATTGGCTGCTAAGTAGTTGGCGGTAAGTCTTCAACAGAATTTTTTAATTCTTCAAAATAGATTTTAAATTTTAACTATTAAAAGCTGCATGGACTTTTAGAGACTCTATTTCTAGTTTGAAAGGACTTTTGGAAATAAAGGTCTCATTTAAACATTAAGTTTTTGTGTAAAGTAATTTTACTATGTTTGCAATATGCCTAAAACAATTTAGTACATAGTTTTCACTATGTCGCAAAAACTGATATTTGATTCGATGTTGACCTGCAGTTTTGTATTTTTTTCCCTATAACACTGTTTTTTCCTCAGCTTTTTTTCTTTTTTTATGTATATCCTTACTGATAATTAATTAATTAATTTTGAACTGTGATTTTATAAGTTGAATTTGTGGCAAGTGCATATTTTTTTTCTAGTATGAACACGACGTAATGTGTTGTACTGACTTGTAATTAACCTTAGATCAATTTTATTTCAATTAATACTTCATAAGTTTTCAGGTCATACCGACAGTTTTTCCTGTATCACATGATAGAGTACAAACTTGATCATGGAGGCGATATCACAAGCAATCGCAAGATTTACAAAGGTTCAGAATATCCTGAACTTGTTGACATATTTGAACCTGGCTACCTACTTATGGCCGCAACCAGCTAACATGGATATCAAAGGTTAGTTAAATTTTATTCGTTTTTCTTTAATTTTTTACCACCGACAACTAAGGTAGCCTTTCACTTGTACGGTACAAGGAGTACATTATCATTTATTTGGTTTCCATAGGTATTTGTAATGGTATTTTTGGCAATCAATATTTATGCTTCATATGCTACGTTTTTCATAAAGAAAATAAATATTAAATACTGTTCTATTTAAAAAAATAGATGTATTTGTTTCCGGACGCCATTTTTTTATTTTGATAAAATATAGTCGAATAATTATAAAACAAATGTGCTAAAATATTTAGTAACCAGACAAAGAAATTTAAGTGTTTTCACCAAAAATGTTTTCATTAATTATATTTTTTATTGGAATCAGAAAAAATCTCACTCAGAACATCGGATGTCCTAGAAATCCAATGTTCTTAGTCTGATTTGCTATTCACCTGGTTGTTAGCGTTTCAATTTGGCTTATTAAGCACGCTAGAAATGGTTATCAAACCAAAGTTGGTAATAGTGATTCAATCATTAAAAAGCATCATTGTCTAGCACAGAACAGACATGATGAAAACCGTAATTAAAATAATATATATCATGCTCATGTTCTTGATTAAAACTAAGGCTCAGCTCAAAGCAAAACATTTATTTCAATAAACCCATGTACAGGAATACTCACTTCGTTATGTTAGGAGCTCGGCCTCATTAGAAACTCCACGGCGATGTTGCTAGAGGCACAGTTTCGGCTACTTGTGAACTTCTGGCATCTGAGCGTCGCCAAGTTGGGAAGCTATGGCATCTTGTCAAGTTTAGTGATAGTCAATGCAAAAAACGTCAAAAATACCAATGGAATTGTGATTGTATGAGGAGAAAGCAATTTATTCGTGTAGTTCATGGCCACGCTTTCAACAGCAACCCGGCGACGTCATTATCTTTGTAACCATCGTTTCGTCCCTCTCATTTCAAAGTGTGGATTTATAGGAAAAAAGAAAAAACGAATAAGTTTTTTTTTTATGTAATTTGTCGGCAAACGAGCAGACGGATTACCTGATGGTAAGCAATCAGCGTCGCCCATGGACACCCGCAACAGAGGAGTTACGAGTGCGTTGCATATCTTTTAGGGATAAGGGATTTGGAGATTTAGGTATTGAGGAGGGATTGGGGGCGGGGAAGGATTGGGCCTCCGGTAACCTCACTCACATGGCGAAACACAACGCTGTGGTTGTTTCACGCCGGTCTTCTGTGAGGCCGTGATATCTCTCCGGTCGAGCCGACCCATTCGTGCCGAAGCATGGCTCTCCCACACTTAAACTTATCCTTACTCTTTTTAAATAATCATCATTCTATTTAGCTTTTATAATTATCTTGAAGAGTTTGACGTTTTGTCCAGGTGGTGAATCGTTTGACTTTCTAATCGTGGGAGGTGGGACAGCTGGATGCATTGTTGCGAGTAATCTGGCGCAGATGAATGCCACCGTACTCATTATAGAAGCTGGCTGTCAACCGACCATTGATACTGAGGTAAATATCTCTTGAAAACTGAAGACAATGGCCTTGTTTTAACCAGTTATAGGTCACATGTATATAGATATGTGTATGGTGAAAAGATAACTGCAATGTTGACGCAATGGCTGGACAATTTTTAGCTGCCGGGCAACGCGTCACGGGTTTGATCCTTGCACAGAAGAAATACTGTTTTGTAATTCACAGATTGTTTTTCCGGGTCTCGGCGCTATATGTACCTATGTAAAATTGTATATTACAGACATAACGCCCAGAAAACATAAGGCGTTTCAATTAGAAAAAGAGAAGTGAATGTGTAATTATTAATTATATTCGTGACATAATATTTAATTAAGTAAACCTTTGCCAACCCTATTGGGCATACAGGAGTCACGATGTCAAAATAAATTAAGAAATAATATAATAGAAAAAAAATAAAGTAAAAATATACTTGTATATATCATTGCATACAGAAGATAGTACAAATCTTAATTGAGATAGATTAAATTAATTTAAACAATATATTTCGTATGCATTACAGATCGCAGCATTATTCCCGTTCTCAAAAAACCGTGGCTTTGATTGGAACTTCACAACAGTGCAAGATCCTACTAAGATATACCATCGAGGAGGAGTAACAGAAGTCGAACAAGGAAAAGTACTTGGTGGTTCATCTATACTTAACTACATGATCTATGGCACCGGTAACTGCAAAGACTATAAAGATTGGGCAACCATATCTAATGACTCTAGTTGGACTTACGACAGCATTTTCCCACTAATTAAAAGAACCGAAAAAGTAACTGATAGACGTGTCCTTCATTCACCTGATGTAGCCTATCACGGAACACAAGGAAAAATTGCACTGAAAAAGTACCACACCAGCACAAACGAAGGACTCTACGAGTCCTACAAGGAGATGGGATATAAAGTTTTAAACGATATCAACGCAAAGAATCCTATCGGATTTACTCCTGCATATTTCACTATTAGTGATTCCATCAGGCAGAGTACAGCTTACGGATTTATACGTCCTGAGAAAGATAACCCTAATTTGAAAGTTATGTACAAATCTTTGGTAAAAAAAGTCTTGTTTGACGATAACAAACGTGCTATTGGAGTGGAAGTACTAACAAAAGACAAGAAGACAATCACTTTGTACGCAAATAAAGAAGTTATTGTTACCGCTGGACCAATGAAATCCCCTCAATTGCTTATGCTTTCTGGTATCGGACCACAGGATCATCTGGAAAGCAATCAAATCAAAGTGATTTCCAACTTGCCTGTAGGACAAAATCTTCAAGATCATCCTACAAATATCATAATACACAAAATGGGAATGGTAGAACCTGAACCACCAAGAGACCCACACCAGTTTCCAGTTAATGTTATAGATGGCAGGGTAGCCATTAGTAAGTGCCAAAACCATCCAGACTATCAAGTTTTGTCTGGACTTATGACAAACTCAACATTTTTCTTAGATATCTGTCTCTTCACTTTTACATTTACGGAAGAAGTTTGCGCCAGTATTTTGGAACAAGTGTCTGATCATCAAGTCCACTTTATCACGCATAGACTTATGTACCCTGAATCTAGGGGAGAAGTGAGACTTAATTCTACTAATCCTGAAGACAATCCTATTATTGATCTTAAATACTATGCAAATGAAAATGACTTAAACAGACACGCGGAATACATTGCTCATTATAATAAGATTGTTGACACAACTTATTACAAAAGTCTCAATGCTTCCTTTGTGGACCCTAAACTGAAGTCGTGCGATGGTTTAGAAGTGGGATCGAAAGCGTACTGGAAGTGCTACACTATTGGTATGTCCACTACTTTACACGACTATGTCGGAACCTGCGCTATGGGTTCCGTAGTAGATTCCAATCTTCGAGTAAATGGTGTTAAGAATTTAAGAGTTGCTGATTCTAGTGTCATACCAAAACTAATTGGATCTACTGTCGAAGGAGCTGTCATGATAGTTGCGCAAAAAGTAAGTGATTTGTTGCAAACAGAATACAGTTTGTAGATTCAATAAACGTTGATATAAAAAGTATTATTTGTTTAAATTTTACTCATTTGTTTCCTTCTTTGATTTAATTCTCATACTTACTTTTATTTATTTTGACGAAAACCAGGAATTTAAGAACATCGAGACCGGTGTCGATCATAAAAAAACATTGTTAAGGCAGAAACCGAGGAGACATAGGTACCTATTTTTTTCACATTATTAATTATATTTCAAAAAAATCACTTTCTTATTGGATAAGAATCAAATTTACATAAACAATAGGAAAGAACCGAGTGTAAGGTTCTTTCCTATTGTTTATGTAAGTTTTGAAATCTTCAAGTCTTGAAATCTTCTAACATATCACAAGGCAGGTCGTGTGAGTAAATCAAATGTACAGATTGACTATCTTGCAGTATGATAAAAAGTAAGGCTACGTTATGAGAGATTATTTCTCAAAAAAAAAAAAAAACGGTCAGGTTATTGAATTAACTCCCTACAGTCGCAAATTTCCTCTGTCTTTGTAAATGTACATGGAGTTAGGTCACTATTTACTTAAAGACCTAAAAACTATCTTGCTACTGCTAAAAATAAAATACAAAAATCAATGAACTAAAATCTGCTTCAGCACTAGCACTATTAATATTGTTGTGATCATTCTTTGTGTAGACGAGCGAGAGCAATATCGTTCAATTGGTTGCAGCCATATTAAGCCAAAGTGCTCTTCCCATACTAACCTTTTATTGGTACTTTGCGACTGCTCTACAAATGAAATTAAAAAGTTTAAAGTTACTATGTGTTTGTGTTTGGTGTGGAATTTACACTAAAGGCATAATTACGTATATGTAATAAGGACGACTGCACTAAAGATTTTAACAGTCGTCAATGAAGTTTTATTATCACTAAGCCAGAAAGAAGTTACATAAAGGCTTAAACCATTTTAAAAAGTCAAGTACAATAAACCCGTTGCTGGGTGTAATTGTTATTTTGTTTAACTATGTACATTAAGATTATAGTTACAGCTATTAAATCAACGACCCAATAGCTTATTTGAAAAATAAATAGTGACTGTGTTCGGCTCGACCGGAGTGATACCACGGCCTCACACAATACCGGTGTGAAACAACCGCAGCGTTGTGTTTCGTCGTGTGAGTGAGGTTACCGGAGGCCCAATCCTTCCCCTTCCCTATCTCTTCCTAATCCTTATATCCGCAACCCTTATCCCCAAAAGGCCGGCAACGCACTCGTAACTGCTTTGGCATTGCGGGTGTCCATGGACAGCGCTGATTGCTTACCATCAGGTAACCCGTCTGCTCGCTCAAAAAAATACACTTTTCCTTGAAGAACTGTTCTCAAAGGTCTAGTTTCATCATCATCAGCCTCCAATTTCTCAATACTGAGAAAACACTTCTTCCACTAAAAAGAAATGAGCATAAGTCTCATGCTTGGCGAAGGTGTAGTATCAGCTCGCCCCCTGGATCTTGCCCCTTCCGATTAAAATGTTCCACTCGCCCCGTTTTTATTAATTTGGAGTTGTGGTTCGCCCCTTACGAAAACCCTTACGGGGCGAGTGAAAAATTTAACAATTAAATAATTATTTTGATGCATCGACTCGCCCTTTGCGGCATTCCCTTTGAAATTTAACTAAAAAAGGTTTATTCAGAAAAATGTACAGTAAACAAAACTGGTAAGTAATTTAACCACTTGTGATAGTTTTATTACCTGGCTTACCTACTGTAACAAAAGGGACCTTTTATGGGACCATTATTGAAGTTTTAAGAAAAAATATTCATTTAAATATTTTATAAACTTAGAGTTCTCACAGTACTTTTAACTAACCAACAATCGGGGGCGAGTTGGAGTATTAGATCTAATAATTTAAGGGGCGAGTTGATGCACTGAGGCAATCAGGGGCGAGATCCAAGGGGCGAGCTGAGCCTACACCTTGGCGAAGATGGGTTGGCGATTTTAAACTTACAAATCGAATTCTCAAGATCATTCCAGACATTCTCAAGATTCCTTCCTTCCCACAACATGTTAGTTGTGTCTAAATAATCTTAGATAGTAGGTACTTACAACTACGTACATAGTCGCACATGGTTCCCATGTTACTGAGAAATCTAATACATAGACAATTCTCACTTGAACGGTTGCATAACCATAACTACTAGACCTTTGCATATAAACCAAGTAAATTGAACATAACTTTCCATAATTCAGTACAGAACAATATCATACCTCTACAATATTGTCCTCTTACGAGGTATATACAGGAGGTACCTATTTCCTCTGTTATAACTCTGTTATTCCTCACTTTATTTCATTAACCGTTGCCCGCAAAGCTCCGGTATTAAGCGACATGTATAGGAATTTCTCCTCCATTCCGCTTCTAAGGTATTTGTTTTAGTTAGCTATAGAATGGTTTCTTAACGTTTATGGGTTAAAATATTCAGTCAACATAATATTCCACAAAGATTCCATTAATTATTATAAAGACACAATTAGGTAGATTATTTTTGGAGCAGATGATTCCAATTTTCTTTTTAGTGTTCGTCTACTGATTCGATAGATTATGTCATGATAATAATGCTGCATTCATTCTTTGTTAAAACTACAGATATAAGGTTTGATTCAATACTCAATATATTTATTGCATTTGATTGTTTAGTATTTAAACATTGTAGCTTTGTATACAGTTGAAGCAGTGATATATTTTTGAGGACTGGAAGACATTTTTATAAGGTTTTCGTAATCATTAGCTTGACGATATATGGGTATTACTGAATTTAAAAACATATATTTATTTGGCAAACGGCAAGAAATAAAAGACTTTTTTATTATTATTTATATATTTATTTGGAACAAGAAAAATATACAAATACAAACAAGTTGAAACTATGATAACAGCAATAGCATAAAACTGTGTCACAATTATCAGCAACCCTTCTCAGGTAAGAAAATAAATTGTTCCACTTACTAAAACCAAAGATGTTACATGTAATTAAGAATCTATTTTGTTTTAAATTACTTAATTTATTTTTAGCTGCCATTAGATGTCAGATATGGTCTGATTTCTCATATTTCATACTTTCTTTACAAGGATTACTTAGTAACTATAGATTATTTCATGATATACTTATTTACTTATTAACTTTTCTGAAATATATTTTAAAATGTACAAAACATTTCGCTTTATACATATCGTTCATCATTTGTTGTTATCAAATGCAAAAATTTAAAATAAAAAAATGTAATGACGATTGAATTCTCCCCAGAAACGGTAGGAGGCGACTGACGTCATATCGCTATACTTCCCAACATAGCCACTATGAATACCACCGTAACCATGGCAACCATGTAACAGATTTTAAGGCCGATCGACCGTTGCCGACCCGTCTCGATTTCCGTAAACCGAGATTAAACTAGGGAAACTTGTTTATCTTAACAATACAAAATATAAGTTTTTACAAAAAAAAAACTGAAAATATTTTACTGACTATAAAGAACTTCAGGTTTATTATATGACTATAAAGAAATATAAGTCACCAAACGAGCAGACGGATTACCTGATGGAAAGCAATCAGCGCCGCCGATGGACACCCGCAACACCAAAGGAAGTATGAGTACGTTGTCGGCCTTTTACGGAAGCGGGTTTCAGATATTTAAGGATTGGAAAGGGATGGGGGGGGAGGAGGGGTTAGGCATTCGGCGATCTTCCTCACACGGCGAAACACAATGCTGTGGTGGTTTACACGCCGGTTTTCTGTGAGGCCGTGGTATCACTCTGGTCGAGCCGACCCATTCGTTCCGAAGCTGGCTCCTACACTTGCGTATTTTTAATATTAAGATAAGTATTGCAATTAATTTCCATCAGTTATAATAATTATAAGGAACGTACGTAATAATTACATATTCCGAGAGCAAATCTGTCAAATTCAATATACTTTTACTAATATGTTAAAAACGATTCTTTCCTACAACCTTTGTATGTAATCACAACATAATTATGACGTCATATTTTTTTTATGTCAAATAACATAAATATTTCGTTATTAAAAATCAGTTAGAAAAAACATAAAAAATTACTTATATAATTTATGAATAAAAGTATGTAAAATGGTTTAAAAATTTATTGTAGGTTCTGAAAAAAAAACCTAGAAAACTACCCAATCGCAACATATTCAGCTTATGTGCATTGTCCACGGTACAATCAAGAAATTTAAAATGCATATAATATACGAGGGGTGGCTGATATATAATCTACTTTGTTCAATAAAGTTACAAAAATGATACTGGCCACTATGAAGCTTTAATACTTATGTATTCCTTATTTGAAAATAATAGCATTCATTTGTTTTAATTGTTTTCATTACGAAAAGTCCACTAACATAGTAAACATGTCGAATGAAAATAATAAAATGCTTAAAATTGAGCAGCGTGCCGTGATTAAAGTCCTAGCTTAAGAAGGAAATATTCCTTCGCAAATAAAAGAACGAATGTCCAATATGCTTGGCGACTCATGTCCTTCCGATTTTGTTATTAAGTTTTGTTCTAAACAATCTAAACATGGCCGTGTGAGTCTGGAAGACGATCCCCGTAGCGGACGGCCGGTTTCTGCACTCACAGTAGACACGGTGGCTCGAGTGAAAAAAATAATACTCGCAGATCGGAGAGTCAAGCAGTGGAAAATCGCTAGGGATGTCAATATTAGTAAGGAACCTATTCACGTTATTATTCACGAAAACTTAGGGATGATAAAGGTAAGCGCACGATGGGTACCGAGAATGCTGACGCCCTTTGATAAACAACGACGCGTCGAATGTTGTGAGGCATTTTTGGACCTAGTAAAAGACAGAGAAGAAGAAATTATCTATAGAATAGTAACCTGCGACGAAACCTGGATTCGCCAATGGGACACCGAAAGCAAACAGTAGTCTGTACAGTGGAAATTTAAAGGGGAGAAGCCACCGCGCAAGTTTACGGTTCGGCCATCAGCAAGCAAGCTTATGGCAACAATTTTTTGGGATGTCGAGGGGATTCTTTTGATAGATTACCTGCCAAAAAATACTACGATGAACGCAGCTTACTACGCCAGCTTACTTGACCAACTGCGAGAAGCCATTAAAGAAAAACGAAAAGGCAAACTCGGCAAAGGAGTTTTAATTTTGCACGACAGTGCTCCGGTCAACACAGCTTTACATGCAAGGTCAGTCTTAAGCAAGAATGGCTTCACGGAACTAAACCATCCACCCTATGGTCCAGATTTGGCCCCCTGTGACTATTTTCTATTTAGAAATTTGAAGAAAAGCCTAAGAGGGGGGCGATTTTCGACCTATGAAGAAATGAAGGCCGCTGTGGATGACCATTTTGACGACCAATCCAAGAAATATTTTTTTGACTTTTTAATGTCGCTTATTGACAAATGTAATAAGTGCATTACGGTAACAGGGGACTATATTGAAAAATATAAAAAAATGAGCTTCCTATGTCTTTTCTTTCTATGTTAGGTAGATAACTTTCCAGCCATCCCTGGTATATACAATATTCGAAGAACACAGTGTGTTATTTTATAAAAAAACTAGTTTATCATTGAATTAATTTGATTAGCTGAAACCATGTTTCTCTATTTCATTATCGTCTACAGCTAAATATAGGACATACAATTGTCTACTTGCTTACAAAAAAATGCATACTTTTCCTTTATATAAAAGACGACTGAAAATTTTGTTACCAGTCTTGTTCTGAATACATTTAACCTGTCTTAACATGTCTTAGAACGAATTTTTCAAGTAGAAATTTTAATAATGAAGAATTTGATCAAGTGAGTGTTTAGTAAAACGTAATATACAATAATAACAAAAAAGATTTTGTTCGTGGTTCAAAAACTATGAATTCGTCAAGTGCAGTTACTTACTTCAAACAAGTTGAGAATGTCTTCAGATTGCTTTCTCTACTCAATCTTACTGCATACGAGTGGCCGAAGCAAGCATGCGTTAAAGGTATGGTAATTTTTATTATATAATTTATGTGCGTATACCTGTGTTTCATTTCAACACACTATATTAATTGAAAGCCATACATATATCCCAAAGTATATGTATTCACTTAGAGTTAATACTGAACGTAGTGTAACTTAATGAACTGGGTTTACCCGAGACGTCATTTTGGTGGTTCAAAATGTTTTATACAATACGGCTAATATTGTTCCTTTATGAGCCATTTTGCGGAATCTGATGTAACAAATATTTTTTTCGACTTCTGTAAAAGTACCAAAAGTCATAAGAAACATTCTTCGTATCATGGTTGTTTTGATCGTAAATAAATGTATTTTCTTACTTTCTGATGCAAAAATTCTTAGAAAGATAGCCTGGGCAGCAAATAAACACAGTGAATAATAAATTATCCTTTTTTCAGATGGATCTGAGTTTGATTTCGTAGTTGTAGGCGGTGGAATGGCAGGATGTCTGCTAGCTAGTAGGCTTGTGGAGACAGGACAAGCTAGTGTATTACTTATAGAAGCTGGACCATATCCACCCTTGGAGTCAGATGTAAGTATTTAATGTACATTTTGATTTCGAAAAAACAAAATATTTACTCAATGAGCATAAAGAAGTCTCACGTTGAAATTGCGACTTAAGAGATTTTGTTTTAGTGCTAGTTCTAACAATACCGTGTCATTATAACAAACAATCCATATTTTTACTATTTCAGATGTCAGGATTATTTCCTTTCCTTAAAGACAGTAGATATGACTGGAATTTCACCTCAACTAAAGATGGCATATCTGAAGAATATCACAAAGGCAATGTAATCCACATGTCACAAGGAAAAATGCTTGGTGGTTCTGGTTCTTTAGGCTTCGGATGCTATGGACGAGGATATCCACATGATTTCAATAACTGGGCAAAGATCACGAACGATCTTACCTGGTCCTACAAATCTGTCTCGAAATCATTCAAAAAGATTGAAAAACTTATTGATAAAAGAATCCTTAAAATCAAGAATTATTACGGAACTAAAGGAAGAATTGAAATAACAAAACAGTATTACAAAAGAAATCGTCCATATTTCGATGCTCTTGAAGAAATGGGTTATGAGTATCACCTAGATATAAATCCAGATCATCCCACTGGATTCACAAATGTTATGTTTAGCATAGGTGATGAATTGCGACAAACAACAGCTCAAAAGTACTTAAGACCTCTAAAACATAACAAAAAATTGCACCTCCTTATAAACACTTTAGCTACCAAAATTATCTTCAATGACAATAAAACTGCAGTTGGCGTAGAAATATTGACTGAAAATAATGATAAAATTACAGTCCGAGCAAGAAAAGAAATTGTAGTCACAGCTGGTACTATCAAGTCACCGCATCTACTGATGCTTTCAGGCATTGGACCGAAAAAGGAATTAGAAGCTAAAAACATCACAGTAATATCCGATTTGCCAGTAGGAAAAAATTTCCAAGACCACGTCAACAGTATGTTAGTTTACAAAATGACGAAAAGTTCTCATGCACAAAGTCTTGGTGATCCTAACAAATATCCGTATGTAGTGTTTGTTGGCTATCCGGCTCTCAACAAGTCACAATGCTTCCCAGACTATCAAACAATTAACGCACATTTTGGAGACAGCATGACATTTTTAGCCATATGTGCGTTTTTCTTTAGTTTCGATAACTCATTTTGCGATTCATTCAACGAAGGCACTGATGGTAAAGAAATATTTTTAACATTTATAACTTATTTAAATCCTAAATCGAGAGGAGAAATTCTCTTGAACAGTGCTGACCCTCAGGACTATCCTTTGATAATCCCAGGTTATTATTCAAATACGATAGATATAGAGAAACACGCATCTTATTTGGCTGATTTTAATCGTATAGTGAATACTGAGTATTTTAAGGCGGTTGATGGAGAATTTGTCGATCCTAAGTTAAAGGCTTGTGATGGTTTAAAGAGAGGCACTATGGAATACTGGAAATGTCATGCTGTAGAAACATCAGACACAGCACATTACTTTGTTGGTACTTGTGCAATGGGAACTGTTTTAGATTCAAAGCTTCGAGTGCATGGTGTAAAGAAATTGCGTGTTTGTGACGCTAGCGTTATGCCAAACAATGTCAGAGATTTCACTCAGGCGTCAGTAATGATGATAGCTTATAAAGCTGCCGATATGATTATTGAAGAATATAACCTAACATAATATTTCATTTGACGTATTAAATAAATACTTTTGCAATCTCTTTTAGTTTTATTGCAATTAGCTAATTGAAACCTTTTTTTATCATTAACGAATTCTATAATTATCTTTTGTTCTTTTTGAGCTAAATTGTCAAATACAATGTTGTTACGTTTCTACTTCTAATGCCAAACACGTTCTGCTGGACGAGTTCTTTATAGATTATTTAAAAATTAACATAGTTATCTTCTTTAACTATACAACTACTACAGTGTCATTCCTATTCTATCTATAATATGAAAAGTCGTAGATAAATTCTATAATATGAAGTTCAAAGTAAGCTATAGCTTCATTTGACGTAAACGAGAGACGACAATATCTAATGTGTGAGACAAAAAAAAGAGGCAATTAATCTCAATTTTGTGTTGTAGAAATAACAAGAAAAAATTAAGTAAAATAAAATGATTGAAAACCACGTCGTTTTAGCATGCTTAATTAATTCCACGTCACAAATGAATTGTCAAAAGATAACAGAAGCAGTAACGTTTTTATTATAGTTCTTTATGAAAATTTAATTTGAATAACGTCTCGAAAATGTTATTAAAATACGGGCCATTGTCTCATCTTGAACGAACATTAAAATTCCAAAGCTGAGCCTTTATAATTTATTACCGAACCACCAAATATTGAAGATGGCACTTCATTTACGAACAAAAGAAGCGAAACTTTCGCAAAATTATAACACAAAGACGTAAATCTCTGTAGAAATCATAAACAAGTCATCATTTATGGTGATCCGCGGGTATCAGATATCATTTTTCTCAAAGACCTTTAGACTTTTGGTCGATAACTTTTTCCTTGAGAAACGCAAATTTGATATTATTAGAAATGGGAGATGCTTGTTAACGGGCCATCGCATAATTACTTCGCCACGGGAATAACGAAGCCTGGATTTGCGCCCTTGTATAATTGTGATCTTCAGAAATAAGAATCGAGCCATTCCTTTTGTATAACGCTGATATATTTCTGATTTAGTTGGGACGTTTGTTTTATTTATAAGTTATTTTCTTTTCCTCGCAAGCCGAGATATTCCCGGCGGTATCGATACTTTTATTGATACCGTTTGAAAGAAACATAGCTTGTGCATTCTCGTGGAAGTAGTGACCGGCTCTAGCCTGGAAACTATAAGGAAATAGTTGCTCGTTCCCAGGGAAGCTGAGTTTTGATATTTATAGTTTGTGAAATTCGTTTGGTATTTGTGAAGTTTTATTTGAAATACTTTAACATTGCTAACTTGATGTTGAGTTCTTGCAGATTGGAAAAGAAAATAAAAATGATTGGTTTACGAATTCACTTGAGACATACCTAAAAGTGCTCGAAAAAACAATATGATAATGGTCCCCGGAAATACCAACAATGCACTTGGACACTTTTGGTGTTTCGCATTTCCATGGAAGACACATTTCGGTTAGAATCTGGAGATCCGTGTGCTTATAAAGGTTTTCAAAATAAGCAAAGATTACAAATATTCCTTTCAGATTCTACCCGTAGCAATAATAATAGCCATCACGACATTACTTTGAAACTGATGTAATAATAAGTACTCTTAACCCAATTTCCACTTCAGAATCCCATCACCAAAGATCCATTAAATTTAATTCAATGTATAAAATCCTAACAAACTTGTTTTAGCAAATTAAAATAAACGTTAAGGGGAGCACATTTAATTAAGGATCGTAGAGTAAGATATTAAAATTCACTTCTAAATTGTGTTAAAGATTGAACGAGATTGATCGAGAAAAAGGAAAAACAACAAGGCAGGGAAATCCAAGCAATTTGGACTTTGATTAAAATTTATTTGTTTGTTTAAGGACCTACTCTATTTTTGTCGCCCGATGGGACTTTCAATCGGCGACTAGTTTTAAAAACAATAAAGGAAGGCATGGCTTAAGCCCGGATTTAATTAAACCATAGTTATGTAGGGTCACGCTTCGGTGTTATTTGAGATATTTGAATTATAAATGGAATTTGAGAGGTATTTATTAGAGCTGGAAAGGACTTGTTAAATTTTTTATAGCTAGATGATTTTTCATGCTAGTATTTTTACTATGCAAGCTCAGGTATGACAATATAACCAAATCAAATAGAAATATTAAGCAAATGGAAAAAAATAAAAAATTAAACACCTAGCAATGCTCGCATTCATTCGCGCTCGCACGTAGTTGTTATGATGATTTTAAAAATAACGCAGCAGTTGCCTATATTTATAGTAGAAGCGACTAACGAGGTGGAGATGATGGATCACTTCAAGAAGCAGTGAAGAATACGATTGGATAAGAATAAAACAAGTCGTAAAAGCAAATAGCAATGTTACCTTACAAAAGAGTAATTATGGAAATTAAATAGAAATATCATTTCAACGGCTTATACCTTTACTTATTACAAACAGCACTCCGTTATCAATTAGCATAATTACACTAAAGGAAGAAATAAAGGTGTATTCACTTTCAGTTTAAACAAACACGATAGAAAACAGACATCTAATGTTATAACAGCAAAACACAAGGTAGATGAGAAACAAACCTAAAAAGATTAAAAAGAAACAAGAGTAACTAAATAACCACGTAAAAAGATTGAAAAAGAAAAATTCTGTGCAAACAAAATGGTCATAATAACACACAAATGGCTGACTATACCATTAACAACCTATGAAAACTCTCTAGATTATAAATACTAAAAGCTGTTAAAGGATAATAGTATTTACTTACATTTATACATAATGTAATTTGAGATGAAATAAGGTTCTGCGTAAAGATGATTAATGATAAAAAGAAGAATTGTTGAAATAATATCTTTTGTAGGAGATTAACAGTATTTTTTCCATTATGAGATTTTTATGATACTTCATATGATTTTTTACGTTTTCAAATTACATATTCTAAGTACACCTAAACCTAAAAGAAAAAGGTCCATTTAGAATCCATCGCAATTTATGGGTCAGAATTAATAATCTACAAACTATGCCAATCTTAACGTAACACATCGTTAAACCTTCAAATACTATAAGATTCACCTATTATATTACAAGTCCCATGTAAAAGAGCTTTTCTGTTTGGGGAAACAATATCAAATAATTTCTCGCACTCAGGGCAAAGTGAGCGGGAGTAACAGACTCTTTCTTGGTCGAGGTCGAGCCCGTGAAATTTCACTTACACAGAGGGACACAACTCTGTGGTTGTTTGAAGCTTGTTTTCTGTAAGGTCGTGGTATTACTCCTATTGTATCTTTTTTGTGGAGAGGAGAGAGAGAGTGAGACTCTAACTAAAAACCCTAAACATGGAACCTGTTGCTTCTCCTGCGCTAGGCCGAGGCTGTGATACCTTACGCACCTGCGACCCCGGTTAAGCATTGGCCATGTTGGACCCCATCTGTGGTTGTTGTCTGTTTCATTGTTGTTGCACCTACCATAATGTCTTGCCTTACCTTCATTCATATTGTCATTTCATGTTGCATAAAGATTAAATAATGAAATAAATATTAATATTTACAGTACTTAGATAGCTTCTATCTTATGCATGTGATAGTACAAACGCTTTAAAGAGATCCTATATTTTTACGTTAACAACAAAACTAAACATATCTCCTTCGTTCTTTTTTAAAGATCTTGAGACCTTTTCCTCAATTCAGTATTAGTATAATAGAATGGGTAGGCTGTGGAATCTTGTGGATCAATCTTTGTCCATGCCGCAATCTAAGAGACGTAGGCCATACATCACTACTTGCACCCTTGTTTCCCCAAACAGATCTCTTACATAACATACAATTCGCTCACGTTCTTCTTTAAGGAATAAATTTGATTTTATTTAAGTGGTATGCAATATTATGTTTTTAGTAAATCCTTGAAATAAAGTTAGCTAGGAGACACTTGCTCGTTGCTATTTATAAGGAATCTATATTTTATTTAGGGGTCATTATTTTGTTTGTGTATTTTCAGGATTAGGAGTGCAGGAAGATATTCCGTGTGTGGTCAGTTAATTTTGAACTTTAATGATGTTCATTCAATACTGAATCTACCTTGTTAAGTGATTTATGGCTGATATAGTGTACCGGGGTTTTGAAAATCTGAATGTGTGCAACGACTTTTGATGCTGACTGTACCACTGTGAGTTTTATCTGTGAATGTTTCGTATTGTTAAATACTGTGTATTGAGCATAAAATAATAAATAAATTTTGAAACGGGCAAATTGATTCATTAAGGGACTATCAGACAGAGAAACAGACGCTTTTATCTTATAATCCTTTTTATAACGTGAAGTCGTAGTGACGCGCACACTGCTCCTTAATAAAAGTTTTTATAGGATTTGAAACTAATAGAGGTATTCTCAGAAAATTCGCATTATAAAATTTTATTTTGAACAAAATATAAATTACTTTTGGTTTTTCTTTTTTTAATTAATATATAAATGATTAGATTTTATTTTGATTTTGTGATCTCAGTAAGTAATATAGGTAGGTAAAATTG